TAAATTATTATTTTATTTAAAAAATACTAAATACAATTAAATTTTCTAGGCAAATTTGCCTAGAATACAGTTTAAGGTATAATTTAGATGATAATATTATTCATGTAATCAATTAAGCAATTGCAAGTAAATTTATTAATTAAAATATAATTTTAATATTTAGAAATTTTAAGCACAAGGTTTGAATCTTATAGCTTGTTAGTTAAGCTTTAAACCCCATAAACTAGGTCAACAGTTCGAGTTATATTAGAGCAAATTTTAATAAAATTTGTTTTTATAATTTACAGGGACTATAATCAGATATGAAGCCCTGTAGAAAGTTCAAGTGTAGTATGAAACCAGAATAGAAAGTTCTTAGAAGAAGACCAGATTGTGGAGTAAAAGCACTAGGTGTGATAGTAGTATCTAGACTATAGAAAATCGTGTATGTAAGTTCTTTAGTTGGGGTGACTTAGAAGCAACACCAACATCCTATCACCTCTGTATTTGACAATATCAACATCTTCATACCCAACTTGTAGAGTACTTGTTTGGAAGGATGATCAATTGATTGTATATATAAGTTCTAATATGGAATAGTGTTAGGTATTTGCTTGAAAGGATAATACTATACTACCAAAACTAGAGTAGTGAAAGAAGTGATGATATACAACTATGGGCTGTGGTAAAGGATTATATCTTAACTGGAATTGAAAACATCTCTGGCACTAGTGGAATAACTATAGAAGGCTACTCGGTATAGAGAATGTAACCTATCTCTGTATATCTAAAGGTACTAATTCGAAGCTCTGATCACACCTATATAGAAGTTTATGATGAAAAAGAGTTAGAATTTACCAACATTAATGCAATACTAACTAGAAATAGCTAGAAGTAATTTAGTTTGCTACTTAAGTAATTTCATGATATTAGGCTAGTCTTTAACAAGATAGGTCATTAAAGCAAAATTATAAAAATAGCCAATAGCTGAGAGTGTATAACGTTGTAGTTGCTGTGCAACTCAGGGGTTCTCACAAACTATAGTCTTGATAAATATCATATAAGAGAGTACTTAGGAGGTAGTAAGAAGTACACTATATCAGATAACTTGGAAAATGTTAAGACCTGAGGATGGCAAACTGGGCAGTAGTAGCAGGGACCTGGCTTAAGATATGAGGCTAGTATACTTGGAAATACAAGTAGGAGGTTTGGGCATTCATATAATATAAGTTGTATGAAGAAATACAAACTGGCAAATGATATAATATGACCACTTCAATGAGAGGTATCACATAAACTAAGTGGTACAAACTTACGATAAGGTCTTTTTTTAACATGTAATACTAATACTTCTCATATGAGACTAGCGGTAATAGCAGGTACCTGGCTTAAGAAATGTAGACGAGAGGCTACCTATTAGAAGGAGTATACCAGTTTAGAAAATATTTTGAATAACAGATACACCAAATTAGAAGGCTATTAAGAACCGATTATCCAAATAAACTAATTTGGAAGTTATCAAGGTTTGATAGTGATATATAGAGTGAATACAGTGGGTAACTAAATATAGTCTGAATATCAAATCCAGATATAACCCAATATATAGTGAGAATGTAGCATATTCTGGTAGGTTTAGATTATATATAAAATTGTCTAAGTTGTATTTTTAAGATAGATATGTAGCCATATAAGACAAATACTTAATAAATATCTAATAAAGATATGAGGCAAGACCTTATCTTAATACTAAAAAAAAAATAATTTTTAAGCACAATTATTACATTTAATAAAATTATTGATTTGGAGAAAATAATAGTTATCTCCATATAACGCCAACAGTAATAATTATAAAAAAATACTCATAACAAGCCTTTTAGCATATTATGTTGTATCATGAGGTTGTTCAAGATTTGCTCGACCTTGATATATTCGCTATTTTTTTTATTGAATATATGAACTTAGAGAGCTGGTCTTCTTATATTGTCTTTTCTTTATATCCTACTTTAGAATGAAACTTCTCTAGAGTTCTAATCCATATTTGCATCGCTTTATGGATAGTTTTAATCTTGGCATTTTCACGAAGTTTTTTAAAATCATTTATAGAGAAATTCATGTATTTAATATGCTAATAAAAAATATATTAATATAGTTTTTTTATATAAAACAACAATAAAAAAGAAAAATATATATATTATTTTACTTTCGTTTTGCTATCTTTATTGCTACTAGTTTTATTTTGTATTTTATATTTATAGATTTTACTATTATAGCTTTACAGGGCTTTAATATTATAGCTTTAATGTATAGTATTAATGAGTGTTGCTATTATAGCTTTACTGAGTATTACTGTTGTGGCTTTACTATTACAGCTTTGTTGTTATAGATTTGCTATTTCAGATTTGCTGTTCAGATTTGCTGTTATGGATCAACTACCACAACTTCTAATATGTAAATTCCAACACAGGTTTTTAATGAACATCAAGATATTTTTAAACTAAAAAATGTTTTTTTTTTTTTGTTGTGGAAAGAAAATGATTTTTATACTAATATGCAATCTTTTTTTAGATCTAAAAAGTATTTTTAGATTTTGGGCAGATCAGACTATGATCATAAATTGTCAGATAATACCATTATATGGCAAATTGATAAATATAGTAATTTGACTCAAGCAGACAAATGATTGGCTAGACATGTACCATTTCACAGTACATGCTAGCCAATCATTTGTTTGCTTGAGCCAAATTACTGTTATTCACTAATTTCTGCTATATAATATATACTTATTTGCTTGATTTACTATTTCTTGATTCTTTTTTTTTCTTATACTAATTTATTATAAAACTTTAACAGATTTTTTAAATTTTTGTATTAATGTCTTTAATACTGTTTCATTATACTATTTTTGTTGAATTTTTTTTTATTTTTAAAGTTTTTTGCTCTAATTTAGTTCTAACTTTAACTTTATTTCAGCAGCTTGTTTTTTTTTTTGTCAAATTTGCATTTTTCTTTTTTCTTCTTTAATTTTTCTTTTAATCTCATGCTAGTTTGCTACAGAGATTTCAACAAATTTTTTAAATTGTTGTACTATTGTTTTCAAGGCTATTTTGTTGTTCTGTTTTGTCAATTTTTTCTTTGTTTTTATATTCTTTTTGCTTCAATCTAATTCTAATTTTGACTTTATTAACTTTATTTTAGTAGCTTGTTTTTTCTTAAATCTATTATTTATCTTTTTTTTTTTTTAAATATTAAAGTGATCTTATGAACAGTTGCTTTTATTAGTTATTGTGCTAAGCTGATCGAAGTTAGCTGCTACTCATTTGGTATATGATTTTGGAAAGTACAACTAGCCGTACCTGTGTCTTTTGAGCACCTATTTAAGTAGTCTGTTCGAAGAGTTTACTCTAGATGCTATACCTATAATCTAACTAGAAGATTATTTATTTAAACCCTCTGCACCATTATATCCTTATGAGAAACCAATCTCTGCTATAGGAAGCATCCTATCTAGAGCTAATTTAACTTGAGATAAACTTGCTAGAGCTTTCCATACCCACAATTTAGCTAATATAGACTTTTTAGTAACTTATATCGAGTCTGAGAACAAGTATTTGCGAGCTGAAGCTACTACTATTATCTATATTAATTACTTAAATTAAACGACTCAGGCTTTTTTTGTCTGGTAAATACTTTTTGCCAGCCAACGCAGCTGTCAAGACATTAACTGATATAGGCGTTCATATAACTGTTGTGGCTAGGAATTACTATGGCACAAATGCTTGTTTTTTTTCACTCTCCTCTACTCTTGAGGCGATTACCACAGGATTATCAAGCATCAATGATACAATATCTAAATTCTCAAATGTTAGAACATGTGTTGATATCTTCGCTTCTGGTAAATATAATAGTATTACGTGATAGGAGATAAATTTTGATTTTTCTTTTTATTTTCGTAATAATTTACTCTTGCAACAATATACTTAATATAAATATAAAGGTCAAAATGTTACTTCTGTCTGGCTTCATAGCAGAACCAAAAGTCTGTTCGAAACCAGTATGACCTCTCCTCATGTTGCTGGTGTTATTGCTCTGATTATTGCCCAGTATGGCAATATGTTACCGGCTAGAATGAAGACAAAGATTAGAGACATGACAACTCGAGGAGTCTTTAAAAATGACAATTTATCTTCTGATTTGTTATTATTTTTAGATCATCTGTAATAATTTTTAGTGGCAATGATAAAAACACTTTCAACTTTAATTTGTAATAAAAATATTCAAGTTTATCTAATTTTAGGCAGTCATATGATCAATAAATCGAGGACTCTAATTGATTACTGGTTTAATAATTTAATTGTTAAATTGTACAAAAAGAAAAGAAAAAACACTACAACGTTAATGTATCATCATTTTAAAAACGTAATAATACAAATAGTTTTAAAATGATAATGTGTTAGAATGTTTATAAAATCTGTAAATATCTTTATATATTGGTGGCGAAGCCGCCACATAATCATGTATTAGTTTTAATCTATCAAAAAGTGACTTGAAACAACTGGCTAGTCGGAAAAAAACCAGGTATTTGTTGTTCTACATAGGATTTATTCATTACTTGCTGTTTTTTATTACCCTGTTTATTAAATCCATCTACACACTAAATTAACCATTATTATTATAGTTTTTAACATCCAACTCATGTTAAACAGAGTATCAAAGTCAGTCTGGCCTAGTCAATATTTAACCACTAGAGAATTATGCTGGTTCCTTACAATAGTACCA